AATCATAGCACATTAATTGCTGATCCAGTAGCTACAGCTGTGTTTTACCATATATATTCATAACATTTACCATCTGCTCCTCAAATGCTAGTCATTTGCATAAATGTTGCTTATTTTCTGTCATCCAGAATGTGGCCTGTAAGACACAATGGGGTAGATTTACTTAAGGTATAAAGACTGTTAACTTTGCAAAGTGAATGTTCACTGAGCTTAGTAAATTGGGTGAAGCTTTGTTCACTCCAATTAGGCAATCATGTGCTAGCAAAAACATATTTTCTTTTTAACTGAGCTCACTCATTATTGGGTGAATAATAAATGCAGAGTCACATTAGGGATTGTTTACACCAGGGGTGCCCATTAGGTAGATCGTGATCTACCAGTAGCTCTCAAAGCTGATGCTGGTAGATCACGCATGGTGTGAATGGTGGCCCCTATATGCCATTTTGGTATATTTATTTAGCTGTGCACACCTGATTACCTATTAGCCTGAGTCTGCTGAGCCGAGCTCCCTGACACCTTTCTGGTGGATACTGGTGGTTGAAGTGCTATGTATTACATCAAAGAATATTAGTTTACACAGCCTGTTGCAAAATACAGCAAAGGGAGCCAGGAGAGAGAGTGGGGAGAGACAGCTGGGGAGAGAGCGCGAGGGGAGAGAACGGGGAGAGACACACTCACGAGAGAGAGCAAGGAGAGACAGCCAGGAAAGAGAGGAGAGACAGCTAGGGGAGAGATCAAGGAAAGACAGCCAGGGGAGAGAGCAAGGAGAGACAGCCAAAGAGTGAAGAGAGACAGCCAGGAGAGAAAATGAGGAATGACAGCCAGGGGAGAGAGGAGATACAGCCAGGAGGATGAGCAAGGAGAGACAGCCAGTAGAGATATCAAGGAGAGACAGCCAGGAGAGCGAGGAGAGACAGCCAGGAAAGAGAGAGCGGGGGAGGGTTTTTTTTTCGTTGGTAGATTTCATGTAGCTTGTCATTTGAAAAGTAGATCTTAACACAAGATGGGGATGGGGATGTGCTTTGCTGCATGCTGTGAACAGGGCACATACAAAACAATTGTTTTCTACCCTGATGTCTTTCACTAAGGCTCCGGGAGCTGTCATGACAGGATAACTTTAAATTATGCTAACATAATGCCTGTTTTTGTATACAGCATGTTATAATACAGCAAATTCTAATGTAAAAAGGAACAAGCTGTAACAACACAAAGGAGTCTATTCACAAAGCTGCCGAGGGCAGCCGAGTGAATGACCGATCAGAAGTGAAGTGAGCCGAACACTGTTCGGCTATTCACTTCAGGCTGGTACGGCTGATTTCAGCCGTATATCGGCTGAAATCAGCCGTACATCGGCTTGCTTCGTGTGGAATTTATTTTTATGTATCATGTAAATTCAAAAATTAACAATACTTTTCTTTTTATTGGTATTATAAAAAAAATATTCTCCTTGACATGTTTATTTAGTATTTTTTACTTCCATAAGCTGGAACTGAAATGTGTAGTTTATAATGCATTATGGCTGGCAGTCCTCAGCATCTATTTGCTATCTCATGAAGTGAAACTGGCACCTTGCCTTCTCCCGAACTCCTGGAACGTGCTGCCAGGCTGTTTCACGCATTCTACAATCAGAAAAATGTACCACAGACAGGAAGGGTGAAATATTACCCCCTAACAAGCAGCTGGTGTGATGCCAATAAATGAGCAAAGAGGAGTTTGTAAAAATATTTCTACATAGCGTTAACTCGAGTACAGTGTTTTACATTGAGCATTGGGCCTATTTATAGCATCTGTCCCAAATAATAACATTTCATCCTCGAGCCATCACAGTCTGTTTAGTTATCTGTTGCTCCTTCTCTGCAAGTGTTAAGTGCTCGTTTTGGTCAAGGGAGGAGAAAAACAGTTATACTCACACGATCCTCGGAGATGGCCGGCTGTGACAGCACTCCCTCCAGCTTGTCTTCTCCTCCGCTGCAGAGATGGAATGTACCTCGGCATCCTTATGTCCTATATACAGTGTGTAGAGCGTGATGATTTACGGGATCTTAGACTGCTGCAGAGGAGGGGGAGAGAGGCTCCAGGGACCGGTCTAAGAGCAAGCCGGCTCAGATGATCTGGTTATTATAGCTTTGTTATTTTTCTCCCTAGACCAGAATGAGCGCTTAACCCTTGCTGTATGTGAGTAGCTCCACTGAAAGGGTTTTTAATAATTGTGTTGTTCTTTAATTAAGGAAGCAAATAAAACTGGGGTGTAGATAGATAAGATATGCATTTCGACTGCTGCGTTGTTTTCTTGAGTTCCATAAATTGTGTTTGATCATTTTAGACTCTTTATTGCCATCTTTTTTATCTTTTTAAATAAAACATAATAAAAACCGCTCAAACTTGCCAAGTCTTCAGCTAGTGTCATACCATTAAAGCTGAACTTCAGACAAACAGCTACACAGTTGAAATTCATACATAGGAGTTGTCAAAGGATTTGTGTTTCTGTTCATCCAATCCTGAAATCAACAAGTTCCCATAGCACAGCCAGCCGGGTAACCTGGCTTTTCTTGTGCAGCTAAACAACACAGCTGCGTCTCCTCCTTACACCAGTGATTGGAGAATAAAGGAGCAGCAGCAGACAAATGTGGTTTTCTCACTGCTCTCTTCTTCAGCATGTTCTTAGTCAGCAGATATGAATGCAGGACATCTGATTGGCTTAGAGCAGGGGCACCCAAATTTTTTTGTCTGGAGATCTACTTTTTAAATGACGAGCTCCATGAGATCTACCAACGAAAAAACACCTGCATTCAGGGGCGGGTGGGGTGTGGCGGTGCATTGAAGTCAATGGCACCGCAGCCACGCCCGCAGTGCGATCGCCCGCACGCGGAACACAGGCACATTAGTGCCTGAGTTCCGGTACAGTGAGATCTGCAAAAATGCTGCAAGCACTATTTTTGCAGATCGCACTGGACTGGAACAGATGATCGCACTGCGGGGGCGTGGCTGCGGTGCCATTGACTTCAATACAACCACACGCCCCCTCTCACCCCTGAACGCAGGGAGCCAGCAGGCTTGAATCCCAGTGCGTTCTAGAGGCCGAACACTCTGGAACGCAGACTTTGTGGTGTGAACCGGGGGGGGGAGGGGATTTCGAGGAATGTTCATGGAACACCTGAATCCAATGATTTGGAGGGGTGTCCCAATACTTTTGGTAATATAGTGTATGTATAGCCATGGTCTGGTATAAGCAACATGGAAGTATAAGAACCATGCTAGTAGGTAATCTGCTGTTGCCCATTATCTATAAGAATAATATTTTGACTGTTCTGGACATATAGTATGTATCTCCCCATTAACATTCTTTAATCCTCATTTCCACAGCTGAAAATCTTTTGGTGTCTGAGGAGAAGGGACCATGTTATCGGCTTGTCAGCGCTACAAAGCAGTGTATGCATCCTTTATCTGTTCAGCTCACTAGGCAGCTCTGCTGTTGCAGTGTGGGCAAAGCCTGGGGACCCAACTGTGAAAAGTGCCCTCTACTTGGAACTGGTAAGTCAAACAACTGATGATTTTGTCATGGACATATCTGTTTTGACAATGTTGTCTGTTTATAAAACTGCTTTGGGAACTTCTTTACACATTTGCTGTTTCTATAAAGGTAAATGAATTTGGGTGTATAGATAGATAAATATCACCAGTTTATAATGGCCTTATATCTATTTTTACTAATAATTTATTGGTTCGCAAATAATTTTCAAAAACCTAAAACAGGCATAAGACATTAATGGCTTCTCTCAATGGAGGGAAGAAGGAAAAGTAATATTACTTCTTGTGGCATAATTGTTTTTGTGTTTCTCTCTATCATTGATTTCACCAAAGTGCATATTTTGGTGTTTTTATTTCATTTCATTTATTTGTAAATCATTTACTTTATGTATCAGATACTTTGCTGGCTTAAATGGAAAACTTAGATAGAAAAATTGTTGAAAAATAAGCTGTTTAAAATAGGAAGTATCAGGTTTTACCTTGTAGCCAGTTTGCAGTCAGCACCTGACACCTATTGGTGCATATCTACTATTTTGCAAAGTCAAAGTATATTGACTTTGCAAAATAATGAATCGTTTAGTTTAGTGAATAAGTTGAAGTAATGTTCACTCAAGTCTTTGAATCATGTGCAAATTTCCTTGCACATGACTGAGCATTACACCATATTTACTGTACATGAACATTCAATGTGCTGGATGAATATTTTCTATTTCTTAGTAAATCAACCCATTGTGTTCTAGTCCATCAATATCACTATTTCATGCTGATAACACAGCGTACCCAGAGTAAGTTTTATGCTTCTATGCCAGCCTTTCTCATCCAAAGTGTCATGGCACCCGGGAATGCCTTCTGTCTCCCTTAGGGGTGCCTTGAAATTTTTGCACAACGCCATGCCTTTCCATGGTGCAGGCAGGCTCCTGATGTGCAAGGGGACTCTGATGTAAAGGGGGCAGGGGCTCCTGTAAAAGGTGAGATTTTTTTGCATTGGGTTTTAGACCCCTATCTCAGATAAGGGTCTGTTATGGATTTCTGATTTTAGACTGGGGTCTAAAGATTTAGAGGGTTACTTACAAAGCTGCCAAAGGATCTAGCAGTAGCTTCGGCTGATCCTTCGGCTAGCTTCAGTTACGGGAGCCCTTTGGTTTAGTGGAACCAAAGTGCTGCTGTATGGGCTATTCACTATAGCCCGTACAGCTCCCGAAGTTGGCCGAGGTGAAAGCCGAAGTCATTGGCCGGCCGACAGCCTTCTACTGACTGCTGGGGCGAGCCAGCCGTCATCTCACGGCTGCCTCCGGCCACTTGCAGAGACAGATCAGCGTCCCCTGGTTACCAAGTAATCAGGGGACGCTGACTCCGCCGAGTTCTCAGTGTGTAATGACAGTTCAGCATCTTCTGGTTACCTAGTGGCCAGGGGATGCTGAACTGTCATGAGAGCTTAGCGGGGCCAGCGGTGATATCAAAACCGGCTCTGCTAAGCTCTCATCCTAATGACAGAACAGTGTCCCCTGGTTACTAGGTAACCAGGGGACGCTGTTCTGTCATTACAATGAGAGCTTAGTGGAGCCGGCTTTGATATCACCGCTGGTCCCGCTAAGCTCTCATTGTAATGACAACTGGACCCGGCAAATCTATGCAAAACTTTAAAACAAGTTTTGCTTAGATTGTAAAGAACACCTTTTGTTGAATATTTAAGCTAGGTGATGATCCTATATTCATGTTACCATTGATTGAGCTGGGAATTAAGGTAGGATGATCTTGCTGCTGGATGTTGTAAGGCCTGCAAGAAGTCTGGGGTGGCTCAGCCTTTGCCCTCATTCACACGAGAAACGGCAGGCCCGAACAGATAGGTGCTGCGTGCATGGCCGTATCGGGCCGCTCCCGGGAGGGACAGATGCTGCGTGTGATTTGTACGCAGCACCCTGTTCTTCTCTATGGGAGTAAGCTGCCGCACGCCACCATACGCTCACACGAACTGCACGTCCGTGCGGGTGTCCTTGCTCCACGCAGACAGGATCCATCCTATGAGCATACGAATATGGTCACCCGCACGTACGTGCAGTTCGGGTGAGCGTACGGCCGAGTGCTCCCATAGGGAAGAACAGGCTGCTGCGTACAAATCACACGCAGCACGAATCTGTACGGGCCGACTGTTTCTCGTGGGAATGAGGGCTTAAAGTGTCCATCTAAAACAGCACTTTTGGTTACATTGGAACTTCAATTGGTTTCTTATTTTAATTAATATAGTGAATTTCCATTAGACATTCTTCTTGGAATAACATTAATTAAACATACAAGTTATAAGTACTATAACTTTCTGTACTCAAGCATTATGCTTAATGCAACTACAGTATAAACAAATACTTCATATACAGTATGCTCTTCCTAGTTAGTTGAATTGGAAATCATCAATGTTGAGTAGCTTGTTGTATTTAGTCAGACAGATTTCTAAATTGATTAGAAGGTCAAAGTCTGTTGGTGATTGACAAGTAGGGATGAGCCGAACACCCCCCTGTTCGGTTCGTATTCGAACATTAGAACAGCCGAAATGTTCGAATACGAACTCGAACTCAATGCAAGTGTGCTTCTCTTTTTCGGTCCAGCCGTGGCTCCTCTGCCCCGCCCCCCTGCCTCCACTTCGTCTGCAGGCTGGGAGCCATACCCAGCCTGCTATTGGATATTGTAAAATGCAATAGCCAATAGCAAGCTGGCTATTGCACCCGCCCACATGGGGGGACCTGATAGAGAACTTTCTCCTTCAGGCCCCTCCTCCGCTGAGCCCTGATTGGGCAAAGTCTTTCACCTGACCTGTGGTCAGGTGCAAGACTTTAACAAATCAGAGCTTTAGTGGGCATTTTGCATTATGGAATGTACGCGGTCGAGCAGACCGGGAACATGCCATAAAGTTTGGCGCTCGGCGAGCACTCGAACTGCCGATGTTTGATTCGAACTCATGTTCGAATCGAACACTCAGCCCATCCTTATTGACAAGTGGTCTGTTAAAAAGTCAGCTGAAGACATCAGGCTATGCATACAGAGCAAGAGTCACATTTCTGCAAAAGACGCTTACTTTTTCTGGAACAATAGAATGTTATGATAAAGCTGAACTCCAATTCTAAAATACAAAATTTACCACAGCTCTGTATTCATTATACAGATTAATTACATTTATTTTTAAATGTAGGCAGTGTACCTGAATTTGACTTGGTATCGGCCTCTTGCAGCCCCTGTACAACAGAGCTCAGACTGGAGAGGAAGAAGCAGCATTATGGGCCAGTCAGTTGTGCTGCAATACCCATGTGCTAACATGTGCTAACAAGGGACATGCTGATAGGAGAAAAGTGTAGAGTGACAGAATGTTTAGCTCATCATTTTGCTGCTACCCATCACTGTCAAATCACAGGCTGGTGGAGGGACCAGATCTGCACGTGTAACATAACTGCAGCAGAGAAAATCATGTCGTCTGCCCTGCCAGACAAAGTTGCGCTGTTTGGCAGAGCTGTGTAAATTTCAGAACTGGATAGACAGAATTACAAATCATTTGTCAGGTAAAAAAGCTCACATATATGTTTTTTTCTGTGTTTTTAACTGTTAGCCTTGAGTTTAGTTTTAAGTGTTTAGTTTACATTCCTTCTTTATTATTCCTAGAGACTGTGCACTGCACTTGCTCCTGAAACACTGCTCTGAGCTACATAAAGTTTTATTTAAATGAGTGATTATTGGAGTATTGTGTCTGTACTGCACATCTGGACAAATTCAAGGAGCAAGGGAGCCAATGTGCCTAATGTCTTTATTGACGTCAGTGGAAATATACGTTCCCTTGTTCTGGCTTTTAGATCGGAGTTGCTGGCTTCTGTATTCCATAACTACTGTATCATAATAAATCCTATTGTGATAAAAGGACTAAAAGGAAAGTGTCTGTTGTTTCCCAAAATAACCAGTTTGGTTGTAATTCATAGATCTTTTTGACAAGTTTAGTATATACAGGAGGCCCAGCATACAGTCTGTACAATCTGGCACCATTCAAATAGTGATTATTAGTTAATTGATTAAAATGGATTTCCATATATATGGCAAGGACTGAATTTTTGATGCAATTCTTGATCCAATATGACATTATAGCCCTACTATGGCTTCTCTTTCCCTTTCTGATATTAATAAATATATCTGAGAGCAAAACAAACTCTTTGGAAGAATGTAGTGGGAGTGGGACGTGTTGGAGGGTTAGGGTTTCACCTTATATCGGCTGAAATCAGCCGTACATCGGGTGGCTTCGGGTCAGCCGAACATGCTCAGCATGTTCGGCGACCCGAAGTGCAGAAGGAGTTCGACTCAGCCGATCCAACATCTGGATCGGCTGAGCTGAACCTCGGGCAGGCTACTCGCTGCTGTTCGGTCTATTCTCCGAACAGCAGTGAGTGAATAGCCGAATGCCGCCGAGCGGCATTCGGCTCGGCTGTTCTGCTTGGTCTCTCTGTGGGACCGAGCGGGAAAAAAAACAGTTAAAAAAGTAGAAAAATAAAAATAGAAAATGATTGTGCGGAGCTAGCAATGAAAGCTAGCTCCGACCCAACAGTTTTCTATTGGCCGGCGGTTATGCTGCCGTCAAATGGAAAAAAAAAAAAAGCCTAACTTTCCCGGGTGCTCCGGGAGTGTCCCGCTCCAGGCCACCAAGGAGAGAAACACTGCTTTTTCTTTTTTTTTCTTATTCTGACATGGAGCCGTGTCAGAATAGAAAAAATAATAATTTGGCCATAGGAATGCATTGCTAGATTCCTATTGGCTATTTCAATTTGCAATAGCAAACTAGCATTGTACCCGCTGCAGGGCGGGTGCAATGCTATTTTGCTATTGGCTATTGCAAATTGAAATAGCCAATAGGAATCCAGCAATGCATTCCTATGGCCAAAAATGTATTTGTATTTTTTTTCTATTCTGACATGGCTCCGTGTCAGAATAAGAAAAAAAAAGAAAAAGCAATGTTTCTCTCCTTGGCGGCCGGGAGGGGGAGACTCCCGGAGCGCCCTGGAGAGTTTGCTGTCTGGAGATCAGTGTCCCTGGTTAGCTGGTAATCAGGGACGCTGATCTCTGCCAGATCACAGCTGGCTCCGCTCAGCTGTCAGAAGCAGGCTGTGGGCCGGCCAATTCAAAGCTTCGGCTTTCAACGCGGCTCAAACGATTCGAGGCATATGCGTTCGGCTCGACTGAGCCGCTCGGCCAAGTTCGGGAGCTGTACGGGCTATAGTGAATAGCCCATACAGCAGCCCTTCGGTTCTACTGAACCGAGGGAGCCCTGGGGCCGAAACTAGCCCAAGGATCGGCCGAAGCTACAGCTAGATCCTTCGGCTTCTTCGTGAATAGACCCCTTAGTTCTTTGGATTTGCCTTCATTAACCTTGAGTGTGCACAAGCATTTTTAAATAAGTTGGGTAAGGTTATATGGGGTTAAATAATGTTAAACAAGATGTCATCTGCATATAACATTATGTTGTGAGGGGCTTCAACGATTTCAAGGCCATGAATTGACAGTTTCACCTGAATTACAACTGCTAGTGGCTCCAAGGCCAAGATTAATAAAACATATGGGAGCATCCCTGACAGGTTCCCGGAGTATAGGAAGGGTTTGGAACTGAAGTCCACATATTTTATTGTTACAGTTGGTTGAGCATAGAGAGCGGGGATCCAGGTTAGAAAGTCCTCACCAAAACTAAAGGGCATATACTGCCATGAGTGTGTGTCAAAAGCTTTGCACATGTTCAAAAAGTTCAACAATGTTCAATGTTTCTACAGATGGCAAGCAGGCTAGGTGGATTAGCTGTAATACACGGCTCACATTGTTTCCCACTTGCCCACAAGGCACAAAGCCGACCTGGTGTTTATGTATAAGTCGGTCCAGAAAAAATGAATTCTTATGGCCAAGATCTTGGTCAGTATTTTCACTATTATTTAGGAGGGAAATGGGTTTATAGGACCATGGGGGGTGCAAATTCACTTTTGGCAGCATGACAATGTTGGCCCTTAGGAATTTGGGCTTTGTACATGCTTTTCAACAGTTGAAAGTACTTACTGTATTTTCTACTTTTTTTGTATGCATTGATATGTGTAGAACTTGTGCTAGAATGTACGTACTAATGAAAAACTGAGTTATGTTTACTTCAACTATGTATTTTGTTTCATTTGAAATGAAAATTATTTTCCTGTGTTTGTCAAAATAGAACAATCCCGCATGATGCATTATGTGATATTTATATTTTCATAGCATGTGCTTGATCTGAAAAAATATACCCTTTTGTTACATTGTGCTTGTTGTAAAATGGTTGCTGCAAGTATGGGAAATATATTTTACTTATTGTATACAGTTTGCTCAGTGATTTATAGACACTATTTAGCTGGTCTTTTTAGTTTACATTACAGTTTCTGTGAAAAGGAAATGTTGATAAAACCCCTTGCAAAAGTAAAAAAAAAACAGGCAGAATGAGCGTTCTAGTTACTGGCAATTGCATGCCTCGTTACACTACTTGTACCTCGGATCATGGACTTGTGTTAATGAACTTGTGAACTTGAAGAGTTCTGTAAAAACCTGTTTTTAGACCAGATTTAAAGAAGTCCAAGCATCTCCATGGGTTGGCTGTGTGGTATTTCTATGAATTTTCTAAGAATTGCAACAGTTTTGTTATCTTTTCTTTGTAGCAAGTTCTTGTGCTTGCTAGCTAAAGACAGTGAGGGTGTAGTAGAAATGTGTGACCCATCAAATTATCTACTCAACATCTAACATGAACTAAGAGGGCTCTATCCGAACCCCAAACAACAAATCATAAAATAACATTATACACTATTTTGTAGTGTCATCTAGTGTTTAGCATGGTATATTACACCCGTGATTATTAAGTGCCACTCTTAGTGCCTCATAAAAATCCTTGGTACATAATGATACACTGTATACTCTTGTTAAAGCTGCTTTCAAGGAAATCTGTCCGGGTGGAATGGGCTACACAGTCCCTGTGCTTCGAGGGCCAGCACATGTTAGACCATATACTGCACAGCCTCCAGTTACGACAACGCTTCAACCAGTCATAACAAGGGAAGAACCTGTAGAAGCTCTATCTGTTTCACACAGAAATGCTCCAGATGGAAGAGATGGTAAGTGAAGATATGTACAAATATTTATTTCCAAAGCTCTACTGAGCCAAAATGTGAAAAATATTAGGGGGTTATTCAGAAAGCTGCCGAAGACAGTCTAGTGAATAACCCAGCCTAAGTGAAGTGAGCCGAATGCTGTTCGGCTATTCACTTCAGCCTTCTACGGCTGATTTCAGCCGTACATTGGCTAAAATCAGCTGTACATTGGCTGCCTTCGGTCAGCCGAACATGCTGTGCATGTTCAGCTGAGCTGAAGTGCAGAAGGACTTCGACTCAGCCGATCCAACATCTGGATTGGCTGAGCCGGAGCTCTGGCAGCTCTCTTGCTGCAGATCGCCTCATTCTATTCTCGCTTGCCGGCATTCAGCTCGGCTATTCTGCTTGGTACCTCTGAGGTAGCGAGCGGAATAGGAAAAAAAAAATGTTGAAAAATTATTACAAAAATGTTAAAAATAATAAAATGTTAAAATATATGTACTTTAAATAAAAGAAAAAAAAAGAAAAAATGTGACGGACTCCCACCGCATAATGGAGCATCTGACAGATGCCGGCAAAATATAAAGCGGTGAGAGCTAGCTCTGCCCAACTATTTCCTATTGGCCAGCACCTGCCAGAGTCTTCTAGCAGGGCCCGGCCAATGAATAATGTTGCCCACGATGACGACTCGGTGAAATATAAAAATAAAAACAATGAAAAAAAAGACGCATGCCAACCCGACTGCACGCAACGAACTCCCGCTGCATAATGTAGATTCTGACAGATGCCAGCAAAATATAGACAATTGGGCGGAGCTAGCAGTGATATCGCTGCTAGCTCCACCCAACTGTTTACTATTGGCTGGCACCTGCCAAAGTCTTCTAGCAGGTCCCGGGCAAAAAAAGCAACTGGTCGGAGCCGGCTATGATGTCACGGCCGACTCCGCCCAGTTGTTGTTTAATGACAGATCAGTGTCACCAGGTCATTTGGGGATGCTGAGCTGTCATTACAACATGCTGCCATTTGCAAGGAGATCGGCTTTATCCAACCTTTTTCCACGCTTCGGCTGAGCTGCTCGGCTGCCTTGGGCTGCTGTACAGGCTATTGTGAATAGCCCGTACAGCAGCCCTTTGGTTCGACTGAACTGAAGGGCAGAGGTGACCGAAGTGAGCCAAAGGGGTTGATTTACTAACCTTATAAACACACCACGAACATGTATACACCTCTGTAGTGTGTTCCCTCCCAGCATGATCTATGGGTGGAATCTAAACACCTTTGTAGTGTGTACACACCCAGCAGGTGTGTTGTGCAAAGCCCTGCATGAATTGCAAGGTGTAAATTAGCTCTATGTTGTGTTGCTTGCGTTGATGAATGCAGGAATGTAAATGCATGAGCTAACCATTTTTGTCTAAACTGTGAATCATGCATCATGTGCATGATTTTTCCATATATGGCATTAGTGGAAATATGCTTTTAGAGACTTTTTGGTTGATAAATAAGTTTTGCTGTGTGAAAATCACACGCACCTGGTGCGTGCGTGTGTTTAGGTTAGTAAATCACCCCCAAAGGATCAGCCAAAGCTATAGCTGGATCCTTTGGCTCTTTAGTGAATAACCCCCTAAATCCTGAAGCGAGTCTGTGGGACAAAAAAAAAATGCTTTTTTTTCATTTGCAAAATAAAATGCAATTTGAAGTCTAGTATAAAATACTTACATATTTAGTATTGTCGTTATTAAGTTGCTTTAGGTTGTGTGTTTACTAAGTTTGTTTTATTTCGTTTTGTTTTTTCACTCACAGATGTTACTACAACAGATCAGGTAATGTCCTCACGCACACTTAAAATTTATTTTGTATAAACTGTTTCAACTGTTTTATTATTTAAGTAATAGTTCACATAATGTTAACTGTTTTTTTTACAGCAAATAAATACCAGAGTGTGTAAACAAGATTATAATAGTAAAATTGTTTAATACCATGGACAATCAAGTGAAAGATGTCTCAGCGAGTCATTCTGATGGCACTAAATGAGTGGGGGTGGTAAAATATATGTACATACAGTATAGTTACATAGTTAATAAGGGTGTAAAAACTCTGCAACTTTGTTCCATATGAAGGCAGGTAAATTATCATTATGTCTTTCCATGCTTGACCTAAAGACCATGAACAATTGTATTATGATTAAAGTGTATGTTAAACCTAATAGTGAACTGTTGCTCTAATTTCTTCCCTTTTGATCTGTTAAATATGCAATTGAACACATTTTGTTTTATCTGTTTGAAAAGTGCAAACAAATCCTGCTGATCCTCCAGAAAGCGGGTGAGCGAATAACTTTCTGTGCACTCTGCATCTGCTGCCCTCTTAGTTAAAATTGTTTACAGTTTTCTCTGTGGACTATAGAACCCCCCATCCCCATGTTATGGAAGTGAGAAGAAGGGGAGGTGTTTTGTATTCCTATCCTAGGGTGACAATTCTGCTCCTCTATAGATATACAACAATGAATAAGCCTTCTCACCTTAGAATATGAAGTGTCTTACTGGCTGGATCACCAGATAAAAATAAAGGAAAAATGCCTGAAAGATTAAATAGTGCAGCCACCACATGTAAGGATTGGTAAGCTGTGATATATTGAATGTTTGTTCTTGTGTTTAGATTCCCTTTAAGAATTCACACTTGGTTGTGACATATGGTAAAATGTGTGTTTTACCATGCGTAATACAGTCTGGGCATTAGAGTCATCAACAAGTCTTTACAATACTCTTCTGTGCTGTACTTATTATTTTTATTTGTCCTTTTAAGTACATTCAAACTGGAGATGGTCAACGGCCGGTGGATCACGGGCAACCACAGCTGTCACCTGGAATTTCAACCATAAACTTACATCCTCAGTATCCAGGTAAAACATGATTGCAAATGATTGTGCATGAAGTCACCTATCTGCTTTAACATCTATACTTTAGGACTGAAAAAATGAATACACTGGAGGAGGTTGGTTCCATGCAGAAAATGTCAAAAGCAAGCCAGTGGCTAAGACTTTGTTCAAATCTAGCTATTTTGTTGGTAAGCACGACAAAACACTCAAGACAAGGAATCCTATTCATTTCTCTGGCCCCTGTTCATATCTGAACATTTTGTCGCAAGCAGAAAAATGCCCGTCACTGAAAAAAGTACATGAGCTACTTTTTGGCAGATTACAGCGCCTTTTGGTCCCATAGACTTCAATTGGAACCCCCTGGAAAAGCATGTTTCAAGCGTGTTTGCACAATTTGTTGTGCATTTTGTTGCACAAAGTTTCTCATTGTAGTCTATGGCAGCAAAAAGCATTGTAATCTGGCAAAAGGTATTGTAGCTCATGTACTTTTTCCAGCAGCAGGTGTTTTTTCTGCTTGCGACAAAACACTCAGGTGTGAACAGGGGCCATAGAAATTAATATGATTCCTTGTCTTGAGGGTTTTGTCACCGCTAGCTCCGCCCAATTGTTTATATTTTGCCGGCAGCTGTCAGATTTTACTTTATGTGGCGGTAGTTCATCGCGTGCGGTCCAGTTAATGTGCATTTATTTCGCTGAGTGTTCGTCGTGGACAACACTGGACGTCGTGATTGACCCTGGATTACCGCTCTCTTGCTCCCCCTTTCCTGCCCTGCCAGGCCTGTGCTTGGATCAAGGGTCTGGTTTAGAATTTTAGGGGGGACCCCACGTCTTTTTCCCCCCAATTTTGGGGGTGGAGTTCCTCCTTTTTTTTAATTTTTTTAATTTTAACTTCTAAAATTCCTGCCAGACCTAAAGGGTCTGGTATGATTTTGGGGGTAACCCCACGCTTTTTTTTAAATGGGGTTCCTCCTAACTTTTCTACCAGACCAAAGGGGTTTGGGAGGGGGCCCCCCCCTCTTTTTTTTTTTTTTCTTCAAATTTTTTTTACATTATTTTCTTGACTTTTTTAATTTTCCTATTTTTTTACATTTATATAAATAATAT